TGTTGTCCACTTCCTTCTTGTCTGTTAGCAGCTTGCAAATCTGTAGGTAAAAGGGGCCATGCCTAGTGCCTGGCTTCCACCTTGGAAAGCAGGACTGCAGGGGGGTCTTGGCCCTCCCCAACCTTTTGTTCCTGCTGCAGAGAATGACCTCACATGAATGCATCCTTCATTTTAGCATGGGACTAAGTCTTCAGTCCGAGATTATGTCTATGATGTGGCACTTTACAAACATCTGGCAGAGAAATTAGTTTCACCCAGGCTCTGAGATAAGCCACTTCTCATTGGAGGCATGGTGTTTGCTAACAGGACCCTTGGGTTCCTCCATACTGGCACGTAAGGCAGGTGATACAGGAGGAGTCCTGCTTGGACACCCCAGCCCTCTGAAGGATGCCAGGAATTAGATCTGAGGCAGCACACAGTCCTGGGCATTTTAAGGCACAAACTTAGTGACTGGTGTGTCTGGGAACTGTGCCCCCTTTTCCCCTGTGTGTGGGGTGAGCCAGCCAGCTTGGGGTTGAAAGGGTTTTCCTGGACTGGTGCCATCACTGTATATGGTTATGTATCCCAGTGTGTATTCTAAACCACTGTTAATTGCTCCCTTCGTGCCTTATTTTTCTCCGGGAGCCACCACCAAAGCTGTTCTGCACTCGGACTGAATTTCTCTGGTCCTGCTTACGTGTATTTGTGCAAGAGAGTGAAATCCACCTTAGGAGGAGGCGGGAGGGGAAGCGGGTAGCGGGCGGGTGTAGTGCCGGTGCGGACCACCAGGTGGCGATGCTGGACCAGCTCTGGCGCTCCTGGACCACTGTGAGAGCATCCTCCCCGCTTCGTCCCTTCCTCCGGCTCCTCCTCGCTCCCCAGTGCGGCCCGTGGGCTCAGGACCATCGCAGCTAGGGATGGCCTGGCCTGAAGCAGCGGTGGTGGGATCCCTTGTTGCCGGGGAAGGTCTGCACTGTTGTGCCATAGTCTTGGTGGAAGATAGCTTGGGAGTGATGGTGAAATTGCAGATCTGGTTTGGATTTGGTGAGCTGACAATGATGGTCTGGTGGCATCAGTCACCTGGGCAGGGTGACTCCAGAGATGCTCAGCAGTCAGGGGTGCAAAGCTCACTAGGGCCATAGCACATGGCGGCTGCAGGAGGGAATGAACTGGGGCTGTTGGATAGGAAGTATGGGGGTACCTGCCCTGGTCCCGCTGACTGATGCCAGGGGAGGGGATAGTCTGAGTTTGTCCCAGAGCCTTAGCACTTCACTTGTCCTAATATGTGATGGTGCTTGGGCTCAGCACATCTGGCAGGTCAGTGTCCCCAGTTTCTAGGGGCAGTGTGTTGTGCAGCTCTCCCCCTTGCTCCTCGGAGGATGAGGAGTCTTCCCATGGCTGGGCTGTGGCCTGAGAGGACTTTCCAGACCCACTAGAGGTCTTCCTGTCTCTGGGGAATGCAGGACTTGGGCACAGCTCTTGGAGTACAGCACAGCCATGTGCAGACTTGCCTTGTCCCAACAGCTCCTCAGGAAGCTGTGGTGGAGAAAGCTGGGGTCTGGAAATGGTTTTGCTTTATGCAGCCTGGGAAGTTTTAGGCCACTAGGGAGCTGTTAAGAGTGGAATAGCTTCAGCTGGAGAGGCTGAGGACACCTCTCCTGGGGAGTCCTTGTCCTTTGGCAGATGGAGGATCCACACTGAGGGAGAGGATGCCAACTTAAATATGTCCTGCTAAAGGATAGAATGATAGTGTCTCTCATCTGCTGAATAGTTGAATAAAAGGATGGGGAGGAAATCTCATATGGCTGTGTTGTGGGTATGTTCCTGAGAAGATCCCTGCAGCAGAGGAGCTACTGCTTTTTTGGGGGAGTTGGTATCACTCTGGGGAATCCAAATTCCCTTTGGGTTCTCTTCTGCATCTTGCCTCAGAATCTCCCTTGGCCAGACCCTTGGCTTGTCAGTGGGTCTTCTCAACACACTGCTCAGTTCAGGGGCAGGCTTCTGTCTTGTGTTGGGCTGTCATGTCTCTACAGAGCTTGAGTGGGGACATCTGGCATTTTTGCTACTGCTCTGCCTCATCTTCAGCCACCTTACCTGGCCCCTACCAGGCTGAGCACCATGGTCCTGGGCTTCCTTGCAGCATGTTTTCTCTTTCTTGTGCTTGTGAGGGTTTGTTTTGGGTTGGGGTATTTTTGTGGATATAGGCACTCCAGAGAGACTGTGCAAACAAGGCCATGAGAGTAGAAAACTGTGGCTTCTCTCTGGGGAGGGTGTGCAGAGGCTCAGGAGCATGGGGCTTAAGCCACAGGAATGTAGCTAGCCCTCACGTTTACTCTTGTGGCTTCTTTTATTCTTTACCTGTGTATGGGGTCCATCAGGGGCCTATTCATGATCCAGCTCTCAGTACCCCCTCATTTTCAGCACTGATGGAAAGCCTGAGCTCCCACCACCCAGCTCCCCCCAAGCCACTGTTGCTCTTACCTCAGCCTCTCGCCACTGCACTGCCTGCTGTGCTTGTGGAAGTGGTAAGTACTCAGCTGCCCATGCTACTGCAGGATACCTAAGTCAACTTTATTCACAATCACAGTTATCCGATTTTTCACAATGAGTTATTCTTCTCTTTAAACAGAACACAAAACATCTTAAAATAAAGCAATGAAATGCAAATGACACAAGAACACAGAGGTACGTGGGAACCTACACCAGTCAAACAAAACAAAAGGTTAGGATTGTTGTTACTGTTACTGCTTTTGCTGGTTTTTTTCTCCCTGGAGAGAGTCTTTCTCTCCTTCCTGCTCACAACTGGAGGCCAGCTGATGCTGGGAGCAGGACTTAACCCCAATTTTTGAGCTTGGATGCTGGGGGATGCTTTCAGCTTCTGCTAACTCCTAGAGTTTGGTCCACAGTAAAACAAACACAGTTATATACTAAAACACTCTGAATTTGAAAGGTGAAAAGGGAATTCACACCACTGCACTGGTACCCATGGATGGAGTTTCTTGAAAAATAAAATGTACCCCTTGGCTTGCCCTGTGTGGAGGGGAACCACTCCCACAGGCGTGGTGAAGGCTCGGGAAGCGGCTTATTGCACCTTTCCCCACATCCACTACTTCATCAACACCTTCCTCCCCCTTAAGTTCCTTCTCTCTCTCAAACATTTGCACTAGAGTTTGTGTAACTACTGAAACAGGCTCCCTCTGTCTGTCAGTCCCAACTCTGTCCTTGGGCAAGCTGGAGGCTACTGCATGCCTGCAGACTGGCTGTGCTCCTGGCATGGCTGCTGTCACCCCCTGGAGACTTGTGCCAACCTGGTCTCCTCCCACCCCTGAGTGAGGGCATCCAGGCACAGGAGCTGTGGTGCTCTGGGGCTTTGCCAGCCAGCTGCAGGGCAGGGCTGAGTTAGGGGTGTATGTGAGAGGTACACAAATAATGTAAATCCCTGTAACCAGAATATCAGCGTTTGTGTTAGTCCTGCCTGCTGGGGCAGGCGAGGGGTGGCTGCAGACCCCTGTGGCAGGCTGCAGTGATGGCGGTGCCTTTAGAGAAAGGCTCTACAATGTGCTCTCTAGCTTGCAGCCTTTTTTTCACTTCCTCAAGAGGACAGGGTGAGGACATGTTTTCCAGGTGCCCTTGGGAGCAGCCTCGGTGAGGGCTCCTTCACCTACCTGGTGCCCAGGGGTGCATGGTGCTGCCCTGCAGTGCATGGCTGAACCTTTTAAATGTCTTTATTCCGAAGCCGTGCTGTTCCCCTGTGTTCTATCAGCAGCCGCATGCTGAGGTGCAGGAAAAGCCTTGGCAGGAGGGGTGCAACTCTGTGACCTTCCTCAGCCTGGCTTGATGGGCAACATGGTGGGGCAAAAAGCACTGCTGCTGCTCCCCACCCCTGATCTACCCTCAGGGCCAAGACACCACTTCTATCTCCTATGTGGCCCTGGAAGGCAGTAGGATGGGGATGGAGGGGACACAGGCAGCTCCTGCTGCTGTGGAGCTGCTCTGCCTGGGCCCAAGGGCTGGCAGCCATGGGCCAGGCCAGTGGCCATGATGGCACAGCAGTTGTCACAGCACCATGGGAGCCACCATGGTGACAGCGGGCTTCCTAACTGGGGCAGGAGGGAAGGGGATTTATTTAAATAAACCAAAGCAAACCAAACCCCTCAAGCTATTTTTTTCTTTCCTCTCTTCCTAACGCATAAGGACAGCCATGTCCTGCCAGCGGGCTGGCTGTGAAGAGCTGAGTATCACCTGGCTGGTTTTGTCTTAAAGCACAGTGATAAAGTTGCCAGGAAATGAAACCCGCAGACATGTGGGTTTGTACATTCTTCCCCAATGGGGTTGGGGTTTTTGTTTCTTTTTTTTTTTTTTATTTTCTTCCTCACAAGTGCTGTCTGGATGGTAGGAGGAGGAAAGGTGAGGGAGACACATGTCCCTCTCCCACAGGACCATGGGGGCAGAGATGCTGCCAAATCCTTCATGCTGCATGGATCGGGACAAGCCACAGCAGATCAGTGGTGTTGCCAAGAGCTGCTCGTTGTGCAACAGGATGGCAACAGGAGATGACTGGATGCTGCTGGGAGGAAGGAAGGCCAGTGCCAGTGTTGGCTGATGAACCCCCCATGAATGCCTCCACCCGGGAACAGCCCTCGAAGCACTGCTATGGGACTGCTCTTCTGCCTGCAGACAGGGAGTGGGTTTTGCTTCACAAATCCTGGGTCCTTATCTGTACTGGCCCCAGCTTTTCGCTGTGAATGCGCTCACTGCACCTCTCTTGCTGGGTCAAAGCTTGCCTCGCTCTAGCCTTTCTAAGGGGCTTCCTACATTCAGGCTGGTTATCCACGGAAACGTGTTGCTTGTTTCTCTTCTTCTGCTAAGCTCCCCTCTGCATGGTGCCTCCAGAAGAAGTGTAGCACTGAGCCTTTTACTGCTTGCTGTCCCTGCTAAACATTGGAGACTCCCCTCTGCTGTGCATGGTGTAGAAAAGGGATGATTGCACCAGCTGGGGTTTGTTTGGGGGGTTTTTTTGAGATAAAGTTTAAAATCACAAGGGAGAGCAGTCCATCACAACTTCCCTGACACACTGGAGTTCAGCCCCAGGGCTTCCTTGGAGGGTAGAAGAGTAGCATCTAAGCTTGGCTCATCTGTTGTCCATGGAAAAGGGGATCAGGACGGTGGTGGATGTTGGTTTTTTTAATCTCTTGGATGATGAATAGAGACCAAGACTTGTGTTGTTTCACTGCCTCCTCCTCACCTTCCCAGTCCCCAGCACAGCAGCTCGTGCTGCTCTAAGTGCTGCGGTACGTTTTGATGATATCCTTGATGGCCCGTCTGCAAATGGGGCAGCAAGCGTTGGCCATCTTCTTGAGCTTCAGCCCACACGAATAGCAGAGACACATGTGTCCGCAGGAGTAAATGACTGTGTCTACCATGTTCTCGTAGCAGATGGTGCATTCATCTCCCCAGGGCCCTGAGACGGACGGGGAGATGGGTGACTCAGGCAAGCTGATGGGAGAGTTGGGAGCTGTGCCTGAAACACAAAGAACAGGGTCACTCAGGCTGCTTAAAAGGCTTCTTAACATGCCAGGGTAATTTCTGCCCTGAAGCCAGCTACAGAGGGAGGAACCATGCCCTAGCAGAAATGGATGTTCCAGGATCAGGGGTCCTTCCTGTGACCTACTGTCCTGCTCACTGAGCCCTGGTTCACATGCCAAGGCTCTGGGCAGCAGAAAGGCAGCATCTGCTGGGATCTGCTGCCCACGTAGAGCAAACCAAGAGGCAGCTGTTCCCACACAGCAGGGACAAAGAGCAGTTTCACATTTTCAAACCGCTGTCTAAACATTAACAAAGGAGGAAAAATCAGGTGGGGCAGGTAAAGCCATCTGCTTTGAAAAGGGAGAGGTCAAGTGGCACACAGTGGCAGCAGCTCCCAAGACAAGCAGTGCTTCAGCTCTGAGGCTGATCCAGGGATGTGGGACCACAATGCCTGGCTACAAATCACCCTGTGTGGATCTGTCAGGACAGGGATGGGGTGGTACCCACATGGACAGCATCTAGCTCATAGTGGGTACGTTGCTTTGCGAGCTATGTGGGGTAATTATGGCCGTGGCACACCCATAATGAGGCCTCCCCAGTGAAGCCAGATGAAGTAGCCAGATCATAAGAAAATTTCTATTTTTTTTTCCCCAAAAACCTATTAAAAATCTGAATATTTGCTGTCACCAGTTATTGGACTTGACACTGCCAGGTACCTTCAGTGAAAAAACACTCTTGGTTTGGACAACAATGACAAGGATTTGGTAAGTTACATATCCCACCATCAGTGTCTTGGGATCATGCAGGTCCCTGGGGCTTTAGAGATGCTGAATGGCCTATCACTTCCTACTGCATGTACATTTATCTAAATCTCACTGGAATTCATTGGCATATTAGAAATACTAATACTGCCTTTTTCTGAAGAGGGTACTGTAGGTGTGTGGAGAGGGAAAGGGGGGCAGTTGGCATACCCATAACTCCAGTCTAAGCTAGCTTGCAACATGTCACTGCCAGACAGCTCTCCAGAAAGAGCTGTGCGTCACAGGGCCACGCACGTAACAGACACTCTTCTGCCTCACTCGGGACCTTTCATGATGAAAAGGGTTGGAGAAATATTGCTGTCTAGGCATCTAAGCGGCTTCCACGTAAAACAGACTGAAAATAGACTTTGCAGAGGCTCTCCCTTCCTCCCCAAGGGAGCTGACAGGGGACTGTTGATCATTGTGGTTTTAGAGTCCTTCTGGGAGACAAGCCTGGGATGGTGAAGGGAGGCAGCGCAGGAGTGGGCAGAGGGAGGCCGAGAAAAGGCAGAGGGGAAAATCCCACCACACTTACCACTGATAGAGCTGCAGAGGGGGCCAGAGCCACATGTAGACAATATGGGGTCAGAGACACCACTGCAGAGGACGGTGGGGGAATTGGGTGTTGATGTGGGCGAGCTTGGTGTAGACAGCCCCAGCCGCTCAGCTAATATGGTAGAACCTGCAGCACAAGAAAGAAACCCACAGTTACTTTTAAAAAAATTGGGGCTGAAGAGTCACTGGGGATATGTGGCAGGAGGTGCAGCTCTCAGCACTTGTCAGTGTTTGTGTCTCATCAGCATGAAATCTAGGGAAGAGATAAAGGGGAAAAAAAAACAAACAAAAAAAACCCCCAAAAAACCTCACATGCCTTTTTAGCAGCTGGCCCTGAAGAGACATTGAGCTCCCAGAGCCCCTCAAATTTGCTGGAGCTCCTTTAGTCATCATAATTCTTTGTTTCTGCCCTTCAGTGTGCCTCAAGTCATTACGTGCAATTACTTTCCTTATGGTTTCATGCTCATAGGCACCCTCAGCACTATCTCCAGCGATGGGCTTGTAGCCAGTAGAGGGGACAGCCTGCAGCAGGGTGGGCTGGACTCCAGCACAAGAACGTATCACCTTGTCAAAGCACTGTACACTAACCCAGTGCAAAATGCATCATCCCAGGCTCTGACAAATTCATGCAAAGTCACTCAAGGACTTCCCAGAGACAAACACAAGGCTTTGGCAATCAGGAAAATTGTGCTCACTGCTCTGCCTCTCTTGTAGGGTGGCCTCTGTCAAAGGCAGGGATAGCAGGTGAGGACAGAAATCTTGGCAGAAACCTTTTCAGGCCAGCCAAGACACAAGTCACCAAAATGCATTTGGCTCAGGGATGAACAAGGACACCTCTCTCTCTCCAAACAGGAATGATTTCTTCACTCCCCACACATCTGTATGTGATGGCTCAAGAGCACCAAGTCCCTTGAAGTCCCTTCTAGGTGTCCCCAGCCTCATTAACTCCTGCTCTCACTGCCCACCATCACCTCTATGTTAGTGTGGTCTGCCAGAAAGGCCAGCTCTGCCCCACAGCCTGCTTGGTACCCTCCCTCCATCTCAGCCTTTTTCTTCTATAGCACCAAGTACCTTAAAGCCCCTTCCAGAAAGGGGTGGTGGGGTGGTGGAAAGAATGCTTAAAACTCCAGGTACGGCAAAGGTTTCATAGGGGAATTTCATTGTTAACGATACAGCCTGGTATTCAGTGAGACAGTGGTGAGACAGCAGCATACACACGCATGAACCAAGGCATGGTTTCTTCATGGTGCGAACTAGTTTGTCTATGGTTTTAAAGTTAAAGTTTCTAGTCCCCCAGCTGAGAAGACAACCAGGGTAACTCCACATAAGAACTAAAATGCTAAGAATTCTTCATGTTACCATATAAGGAGCTGAGAGACACAGAGGGTTTGGATCTGCAGTGTCCTCGATGAGTTGGAGGCTACTCTCCAGAGAAAAAGCAGCAGTAGGAGGCCAGGAAAACCCCAGAAAGGTCCTTGAGTTCCTATTTGCAGGGAGGCTACTGAGCCAAGGAGGACCAAACCTGGGAAGCAGAGACTCCAAATGCCAACTATGGATTGTGCAAAAAAAGCAAGAGCACAGAAGCAGCCAATACCAGATTCTCCTGCCCTTTTTAGCAGAAGAAGATTAAGCAGTTTAAGTGCAGCACAGGGACTGAGAGCAGGTCATGTTTGGGTTGAAATCTGTTCTGAGGACTGCGTACGGGAGAATAAGCAATTCACTTCAGCCTTTAGTCCCTCAGTTTTACTCCTCTTCAAATGAGGAGCACTTTGCTCACAGGCAAAATCTGAAGTTGAATTAGCATCTATAAAGGGCTTTGGGGCTCTCATACTTGAGATGCTGTGGAGAGGCACCTCCTTTATCACACAGATGGGAGCTGAGGCTGGAGTTTAGCTCAGTAAATATGCAGCCTCTAATGACAGCCACTAGCAATGGCCCTTCCCCTCCCATCTGACTGATGACCATAGCAGAAACCTTGCCCTGTGGGTAACACACACTATAAACAGGCCCAGAAGGGCACAGATTTCAGCTCGTTCACTGCACACAGAACAAATATGAACACTGAGCAGCTGAACAAGTTTTTCAAGCCTCCCCTCTCCTCCCTGCAGCCTGGAGACATTGCTTCCATTCAGCTGTCACACAGCACATTGCATTTCTAACACCAACCTGGTCATTTCATTAAATGCAAAATAAGGACTATTAAGAGCATTTTTTTTTTCAGGGATAATAGGAGAATTTGGAGGTGCCCCAAGTGTCACAGAGTATGAACTGATGAAGCACGTTGGCAGCAGTGCAAATGGCCTTTCCAAAATGCAAGGAAAGCTAATCAGTGCAGAAACCACAATCTTCTCTGGTTATGGCCGCTCTGAGTGCCAAAATGGCTTTACCCAAGACCCAAGGGCCAGCACACATCTTCCCAATTCTTCCTCCTAACACAAGACTCAGCTCTTGACTTTTCTCCAGTGTAAGTATAGAGCTTTGTTTAAAACAATGAGTTCCCAACCAGAGAAGACACACTTCTCCCTTTGTGACAGAATAATCAACATAAGACACGTTACTCATGCTGTGAATATATTGCTGGATGGTGTACAGATACCATGAGCAGATACAAGGAGCATGGAATGAGATCATGTGCAGGATGGAATGAGTGTGGCCAGCTTGGCTTAACTAAAACCAGATAGATGTGCTCAAGGCCAAACATGCTCATTGTGTGCACAGAGCTCCCACCAAGAGCTAGCTTTCAAACCATGGTTTTAAAACATGAAATAATTCTAAATAAATCAATTTAAATAATGATTTAGAAACATTCTTCCTCTCTGTAAAACCCACAGATAAATTGTCTCTGCTGCTAACTTGTCTCATGCTTGATCTCAGACATATTGGGATCACCTTCAAGTGGATTTTGAATCAATTTCATTTGCTGTTTTATCTTTGCAAAGTCCAATTATTAGCAAAATCCAGTGCAGACTGACTCTTTCTCTGTACTTCTGTCATCACTCTGTAAGAGTGCAAATAAACAAACCTCTACGTCTACCCACAAAAGGAAAGAGACTATTGTACTTTCACTAGAAGAGAGTACTACCATGGACTGGACAGACAACGTATCGCCAGGAAAGGCAGCTAGCATGCGAAAGGTTTGCAATTCAAAATGGTCTTGCCAAACTGGAAATAGGATCATAAATAAATGGGATGGTATTCAATAATATCAAATGCAAAATGCAGCAGTTTTAAGAAGAGATAATCAGCTACCCAAATACAGGACAGGGAATTAGTCCATTCAATTACAAATACAGCTGTCCTACAGAAAAAGGCTTGGGGATTGCTGGAGGTCACCAGATGATCATAAATCAACAATGCTGTCCTGTTATGAAAAGGCTGCGCCAATCCAGGGTCATATGAGGCTGGTTAAGGACTGGAGCAGGAGTCTGGAGGCACTGTGGTATCTCTGTCCCTGGAAATACTCAAAACTTAACTGGACGTGGTCTTGTGCTAACTTGGAAGTTAGCCCTGCTTTGAGAAAGAGATTGGATTAGATAATTCCCAGGGGTCCCTTCCAACCTAAAATGTTGTAGGATTCTATGATTTTAAGATGGCCACATTTTTCACAGGCTGCTAAAAGGAGAGAAGAAAAAAATCTGTTCTTTGTGAAAGTTCTGGATAAGACAAGAAATCGGACTCTTCTTAAGGTATTTAGGTTCAACATGATGTAGATAGTGAAGCACTGTAAAGCAATCAGACTTCCTAGAGAGACTATGGCATCTCCATCACTAGAGCTCTTTAAGAACAGGAAGGTGAAGTAGGTAGTCTCTTGGCATCCCATCTGGCATTTATGATTTTTATGAGAGCAGTTATCTGTATCCGTAATTGCCCTTTTATAGAATGTCCTAACTGTGACCAAAATACAGCAGCTGTGGCTCTCAGAGATGCTTTTGGCTCTCTGTGTCTATTGTGGTGAACAGGGTGGTTTTCCAGAACATTGCAATGCATTCTCAGGGGATATCTCCTGAGGCTGTCCCAGCTTTTAAGGAGACGTCTTTTTGCTCATCTCTCTTAATGGCAGCTGCGTGGGGAGAGCTGTGCTGCTGAAAGATTTACATTGGTGAGAAGGCCAGATACCATGTCAATACTCCCTAAAAATACAGAAAATTTTCAATTAACTCTTAATTAATTTATAAAAATATTATTTCTGCATTTCTTTCTCATAACAAAGTTATTATGTTGCCATGCTTATTACTGCGTAGGCCCCAGAGAGAGAATCGGAAAACAACCACAACAGCACAGCCAGGTGGGAAGAGCAATGTGCTGCCTGTATTCTCCGGAGCATGCTTAGGGGCATTTATTATGATGTAAGTAAATCCCCAGGGCATCTCTGTGGCCTAGAGCAGGGAGCAGCTGCCATGAATCTGCTCTGCAGCTATTCCCAACCCTTTGCTAGCAAGCAGTATATTAAGACTCCCAGACTCAAGCTAGAGCTGAGATGGAGAGAAAAGTAAAGTAATGCCAAAGAGCATGTTGCTTCCTTATTACTATTGATTTTGGATCATTGAAGTTTGGGAAACTACCAGTTTAAGGTGTTCATAACACATTTCTTAATCTGTTCTCTATTCCTGAGGAAGGTGATAGAGGAGCAAGGCCATTCCTGGGACTCAAATGATGACAACAGGCTGAACTCCATCAGATTATGAAAAACATCCATCAGCCAGTGAAAGGTCCCCAGTAACTTCTTAGGATTTGACCATGGTGTTCCTCATACTGTCCCAGTGTGGCGAGGAGTGTTCATGTAAGACAAAAGTAAGACTTCACCCATTTTCCTAACTCTCTGTCTCCCTCTCTTATCCCTTTCCCCCTCAAAATTAAATTCAACAGTATATAGTCCCATTGCACTTTTTCAGATCTTACCCCAAAAGGCCTGCAAGCACAACGTTTCTGTCAGAGCACTGGGACTACGCTGGCAGAGACCAGAAAATGTCTGCTGCTTTGAAGTGTAAATGCAGCATTGCTAGTCTGGAGACTTTGCTTTTAAGGAAGAAAGAAACAAAGGAGCGATACCCAGTGTTTGCTGGCTGCAAACAGGAATGAGTGTCATGACTTCTGCCCCCAGAATGCTTTCTGGCAATACCAAACACC